CCTGGTAACACATTTTGCCCCCACACTGCAAATTTGATACAGGGCACATTTTAACTTGCTGAGTGTGTGGTTTGTGGCATCACAAAGAGGTTTCAAGCACCACAAACCACATGTGCCTGGATGTCTGGATCTGGCCAGAGTGATGCATTCAGAGTGAACTACCACCCCAGATTTGTTAGCTGGTTCTGTATTATACTCTTGTGGGCTCAGTGACCATTTTTTCTTATTCTTTTCTATTCCTCTTTCCTTTTACCTCCATGTCTCATGTTGCTCTCAATTTACCCACACTGCTGCTGACCATCCAGTCAACTACCAATTTCACTTTTCATGTTATTCTTGGGAATTTAGTTGAAATGTAAAAAAAAAAAAAAATATTCAGAAAGATTGTGGCAGAGCAAAGGAGTATGTTTTTTTAAGGGGAAGAATGGATTAAGAACTCAGGGCAGATGACCAGGAAACCTAATCCTTCTGTACTTGACATGAGAGAAACAGAATGGGAAAATTCACTAATTCTAAAGAAATGCTCTAGCTCTGGTACCTCTTTGTTTTAAGTAGGTGTTTTAACTGTTTCAAGTTACAGACATCTCTTTCTCTCAGAGGAATCTAAGATGGTTTAGTTTAACCCAAATAGAAAGCTGAGGACCAATGTTCTGAAAGGACTGGTAGGTAAAAAAAAATGTTTCTCTGCAGAGAGCGAGAAACATTAAGTGAAAGATCTGTGCTCTTTCATCAACAGCATATTGTAAAATAGAAGTGGACTTCAAGAACATGAGCCAGCACTGATATATGTCCTATAAACTTGCACCCCCTCCAAAATACCCAACTATATAGAGTTATGCTGATAATGTTAATGATAATGCTAAAATCTTCCACAATATTTGGAAGCAATATGGGGCATTTAATGAACTGACCCACATGTTTTTATTCAAATCCATTCAATAGGGGAAGGACTTTCTGACAATAAACCTTTAGAAGCAGACAGTTTTCTGACATGGCAACAGCAATTATTTCAGATAAATTAACTGAGTATAGATGTAACCAAGTGTGTGTAAACTGCCTAATCCTACTCTCCAGCAAGGATGTTGTTTTATTTTTCCAAGTGAAGTAAACTCGGTCAATATGGGCGCTGGCAGATTTTGGGGGGGGGAAAGGGAATTTTACCAGAAGCAGCAGCACATTACTTTGACCCAGCTCCTGTGCTTCAGTGCCGCTTTTTGGTGCTTTTGTCTAATAGCTGAGACAGAAGCACCAAAAAACCCCACTAAAGTGCCCAGATGTTGGAAAAGCTGGGAGCAACTAATGCACTGCCTCTTCTTGGCATGTGCTGGGGTCAGTGCATGAGTACACCAAGTTTAAAATAAGGGCCATTTTTTCCCACCCACATCTGCAAGTGACCCATAAATTCAGTTAGCATTAAAAACAAAAAAAACAAACAACAAAAGAGGGATTATACTTTCAAGTAGCATAGAGTCAAAACTATATTTTAGAAACATGTTTTCCAAGCATGATGCGTCAGGAAATATTGAACTTTAAAACAAATCAATTTAAAAATATTTTTCAGAAGTTAATAATTTCCTTGTTATGTTGAAAATCCAAACACAACATTGTTGGGTGTAAAAATCAGAAAGTGAAATTGATCATCAGCTAAATGAAGCTGATTGGGCTAGTTTTAGAGTGCAGAATTCCATAGAGGAAAGCACAAAGGAAAGGAAGCATAAATTCAGAATTTATTAATACAGTTTCTCTAAATCAATGTCCCAGTATGGGTCTACTGCTGTTGGCATTGTCCCTTTAAGCAAACAAGTAAGATGTAATGGCCTGGGCTTTTGGGAACAGGAGCACTAATCCTGAAAGCACTTATAAACAGGAATGACTATTTTAATATAAGTTGCTTTATTAAATCATGAAGATTATTTCTACCTATGTATTTGCAGGTTTGGGGCCAGGAAAAGGAAATAACACACAATCAGGAAATAATATTTGAAATTCAGAAGTAAATACACAATGCTTGAGGCATAGGTGCCTCCCTTTGGAGCAGACTCCAGGCATTTAGTAATGCAAAAATGGTATCCTGCTAGGCTGAGAATCTAGAGAAATGCTTAGAAGATCACAGCCAGTGAAGAGCCTGATCAGGCATCGTACCTCCAAAAAGGGCATCTACACATGCACTTTAATGTGCAGTAGCCTATTTTACTGCACATTAAAGCATCATATGAAAAACTGGGCAATTATGCTAATGTGCAGTAAAATAGGCTACTGAACATTAAGCATCACTTAAAAACCATGCACATTCGTTACTGTGCATTAAGGCACCCTAATGCACATCTGTTTAGTACCTCAGGGCACCTATACATGAGCACCGAAACTGCTCTGATTAATCGAGTCTGCTGGAGCATAGCAATTACCATGATCCAGCAACCTCCTGCATCTCATGTATCAGTAGCCGCACACTTAAAAATGGCGGCAGGGCACTTGAACTAAAGCTCGTCAAACAAGCTTTAGTTCAAGCATCTCTGCTGCCCTTTTAAAGCCTGAGGACACTGATACATGAGATGGGGCACTACTTTAAGTAATAAGTCACGTCTCAAATCTTCTCTTTTGCTTTTTTTCTTTCTTTCTAGTGAAGTATAGTATAGAATGGCTCTTGGAGTGGCTCTGATTAAAGTGCTACCCCCTCACCCTGCTCTCCAAAGCATGTATAAAAAAGCCCCAACATTGGAGGTACTAAATTTAAGTCACATTAGCAAAAGCACCTTGATGTATGTGTAGACATGCCCAGGGTGGAGGAAATATTAGATGTGGGTTAATTAAGTGGGTGGAGTATTTGTTTTGAATACATATATTAAAGAACTTTTAAGGCTAACAGTATTTTTCAGTAATGAAAAATGAAAATAACCTATTTTTCTTTCACTTCAGCTACTCCATTATGTGCCACAGGGAATGAAGATTTATATATACACAGGTATTTATTGGGCAACAAAGAAAGGGTGCATGGCCTATTTAGTATATGGTAGAAGAAAAAATGAATGACAAAACTCTACTGTCCAGTTTACGCAGCAGGTTTTGCTCACAATGGACAAAGCTGTGAGATGAAAGAGGCTGAGAACTAATCCTAATTACTGCTTCACTGAAAATGCTACTATATTAATGATTTATATGCATCTCAAATAGAAGAGCTATTTGGTGGAAACTAGACCATCTGAAAATACACTGATCGTGTATCAAGTGGTCTGTATTACCCCTCAGCCCGAGTTCTTTAAGGTATCTAAATGGCACTTAGATGGATTTTAGATATCTACCTCTTTCAGTGCGAGAGACCCTGAATTAATGGAAAACCATTAATATGTGTCCTTTTGTAATGCATCTTTATCTTAGCCTGAGAACCAAAGAAAAGGAGGGACCAGCCATCCTCCTTCTGCCCTGTTATACTAGTGTTTAGGGCACTTTCCCAAGTAGTCAGAAATCTGGATTTTAAGCCTTACTCACCCTGTGTATGTTTAAACCCATATTTCCCATTTCCTAGGGGAATACGCTTACCTCCTGGTTATATCATCCGAAGAGCTAAGGGCATCCTCCATCCTGTTCAAGCTGACACCTTGGATGGAAAAGGATTCATGGGGCCAGAAAGAGAGCAACCAAGAGGGAACCAGACATTGTAAACTCAGTTAAAATGGTATTTTTCAGAGAAGGAAAGAGCCATACATTCTGCTTCTACTCTAAATGCCGTTTATGCATTAATCCACTGCTTAGTTAATAAAAGTGTATAAACAGCATTGGAGGCAGGAAGAGGTGCAGAAGCTGGGGCTTTCTCTCTTCCAGAGGAGTTCCTGCCTCACTAGTCTACAGAATCATTTTTCTTTTTGTTTGTCTACCTTCTGGCCCTTGAGTGTTATATTCCTTTCCATGCAGTGGACAAGCTTCAACAGGAGAGACAGAGAATGTCATCAGCACTGCATAGTCTTGTGGTTATGGCACTGTCCTGGAAAGTGTAAGATGTGGCTTCAAACCTCTTCAGGATTGGGAGTGCCTAGAACCCTGGGTTTCTATTTCTTAGCCAAATGCCCTAACATGTACATTATTGGACATAAGGTAGGGATGGAGAATCCCCTGTTCTTCCTCTGTTCAAGTGGTCTCCTCACAGCAGAATAGAATCCAGAAATGATGGAGTCATAAACTATGTGGCTCTGAGTCACACCCTTCCATGCCTATTTCCTATTAGCTACCGGTAAGCCACTCCCTGGATATGCATATGGCTGCACATTGTCAGAATGTGATAGCTCTGGGCCTCTCTGGGGCTGCATCTACACATGCGGCAGACTGCACAGTTGTTACTGAGGAGTCATTTAGTTCTTGCATAAATGACCACGCAGTAACTGGCATTACTGCACAGTACCGTCGCTGGACATTTTTTCCCCCAACACTACTGAGCAGAAGCAACGAGCTACTGAGCAGTAGCATCACCACACAGTTAGCACCCAACAATGCTACTGCACAGTAGCAATGAGCTATGGCACAGTAGCTTGTTGCTACTGCACCATAGCATCTTGTGTAGATGCTCCAACGGTGGAGTATATCCCTCTTGAGGTGAGATAAACTTTTTGCAAAACATCTAAGTAGGCATAAAAGGCAATACATTTCTTGGTAAATTATTAAGGGGAGAATCTACACGCTGAATATTCTGAGGCTTGCTGAACTTGGATATTAGTTCATCTGTGGCCATTTATTGAAAGTAATCATATCTATAATCCGTAATACACAAAAAAATAGCCACATACACATCATAGGGTATTAAGAAAAAAAATAGGTGAATATATTGTAGATTTCACAACAACATAATACATCTTTTAGATGTGCTTAATGTTCCAATGGACGAGCTTCATATTTGAGAAAAACAGAAGGGCATTTGGCCAGAGAATTCATTGGGGAAGGAAAGCCCTTCTGACCCAATGAATAGAAAAAAAAAGATGCTTTGACCACAACTTGGGAAAGCAATGATATAGTCATTGTCAATCAAAATAGAACTGTGTAGACAAAAACAAATTGCTACTATTTTAGTTTGACTGACCACACTACTGATAGAATCAGTAGCCTTCTTGCCAAAATCAGTTATTTAAATAAATCAAAATTTACTAATCTATGACAACAGAAATGAAATCACTGGACCATACTGGTAAAGAGGCTTTAACCTACATACTGATTTTCATTTCTAATTACTTGTTTTGTGGAGCAGCCAGGAAGTGGAAACCATTTAAAAATAAATAAATAAAAGACCTGTTCTGTCAGGACTAATCAAATGGCTCTTCAGAAAGTCTGATCCTGAGCAACTCAGCAAAACTGAATGAATGGCCAAGTCCTCGTATGCAAGCACATGCAGTTTGTTGTGCCACAAACCTCTTTGTGGCACCACAACTGCAGGCAGGTAATGTTTAAACATGCCCCACGCTGCAAATTTGCAGTGCAGAGGAAAAAAAATCACTACTGGGATTTCCCAGTAGCAAGCTCCCCCTCTCCCTACCCCAGGAAAAAAAGCAGTACAGAGCACACAAAAATAGCAAGTGCCAGAATACATGGAGGCTTGGTTCTCCAGTGAGATGCTCTGGCTGCTGGCCAGAATGTCTCTACTGCTCCCTTTGTGCCCTGGCTGCTCCAGCATGCTGGTAGCCAGGAGAAGCTGGACAAGGGTAGTTTGCCCAACATGGGACGATGTGCCCTGCAACAAAGCACAAGTGAAGGGGCATGTGCTGAGGCAAAACGCAGTAGCACAAATTTGTGCTGCTATTTGTGCCACTGCAAGGGCATGTCCCTGTTTGTCTGGACATGGCCCATGAGTCCTTCTTAATGTAAATAAAGGAAGCAAAATGCTGTCCAGAGTCAACCACAGCCTATGTCTAAGTCTTGTATTCAGATAAATCCAAAAGACCAAATGAAATGATGAGTGTCTGCAGCACCCATAGAACTCAAGGTGAGCTTCAGGTGTTCAACAACCCTTGGGATTTGTGCTACAATGAAACAGTAGTTAAGAATGACCTGAAAAGGAAACTCCTCCTGCTACTCAGACACTTACTTAAAATATCCCAAAGGTTTCCAGCTAATATTTGATAACTAATTAAGTACCTTCTGAATGAGGCAACAAATTGTGATTAGCCCACTGAAGGGATAATTAAGGCAGGTTACCTGACAAAGACTAGTCTGGATTGTATCAGATGATAATTTAATTTTTTTAAATAGTTAAATGCAATATTTTAATGTACTCATTGCAAAAAAGGAATAAAACTCAAAACCACAAAGGGAAAAACAATATTATGTAAAATGTTATTGCAGTCAAGAACACATAGATATCCACTCAATTACAATTATTTCTGGAAGTTGGATTCCAATTCAATCCTTCAATTAAATTGTATTTTATTTGGGGGGAAGGGGAAATCAGTGATATTACCAAGTTATTGATGAAACAATCCAATATTACACTGAGTATAGATTGTATTTTTGACAGGTTCACAGAAAGAATACGAATATGATATGAATGCACGACATGTTATTCTTATCAACCAGTGGCTGATAATTACACAGTATCATTACATTCATAGATTTTAAAAATCACCTCCTAATTGACTTACTGTTTGAACTTTGTGGAAATCCAGGCAAGGAGGATGGACCGTTCATTCCAGGCAGAAGAACAGGAGGAAGGCCAGGGAGTCCTGGGTAAGCTGCTGGCAAACTGATACCATGAAGTGAACTGCTGTCCATCATTCCTGGTTGCTGTACTGTTAGGCCTAGCACATCTGTAGCCTTCTTTATGCGATCCAATTCTTGTTGTGCCATCAGCTGTCTAACAGTTGTAGGAGCTAAGTAATCTTTTTCTCGATCTAACTGACTTCCCACAGTTTCTCTTACTTTTGTAATATGTTGTTTGGAAAATATATGATCTCTTATGGACAAACGTGCAGAATACTTCACCCCACATAGAGAACATTCTGGTTTTGAGCCTTCAGTTCCAGTCTGATTTATCATGAATGGCTTCCCTATATTAATTTTGAATTTCTTTTCTTTTGCCCGGGCATTTTGGAACCAAACCTGGACCACTCGTTTGGGCAGACCAATCTCATTCCCTAGCATTTCGCATTCTTGCATGGTTGGAGTTCGATAATCACTGAAGCAAGCCTTGAGGACTTTAAGCTGGAGGTTGCTCATTTGTGTTCGGAAACGTTTGTGACCTGGTCGATCACTGTTTTTAGATTTAAAGGGATTATTGGCTCCAAATGGGTTAGGTGAACTTGGATCAGCTATGCTTGATGTTTCACTGCGATCGGCATTATCATCAGGATCATCAGTAACATAAAAATTTTGGTCATGATCACCATCTTTGTCAGTAAAATGTATTGACGGGCTAGTTAGGGAGTAGAGAAACTTTTCATCAGAATTATCATTTGTAGGTGTGGATGCTGCTTTTGGCAAAGTATCATTCATAAGTTGTTTTGGGTCTTTGGGAGATGATGCAGGTTTCACATCCCCTGAACTACCAGTTGTGCTTTCCATTTCATTGTTTCCCTCATCTCCTGTTGTGGCATCACTAATTGCTGTATTAATTGATGAAGTCTCATCAAAGTCAGTCTTATTTTGTTCATATCCAGAGTCAGCAGGAGGGGCATTCAGATTTTCTATATCCTCACTAGATTCTACTTTGATTGAAGAAGGGCTTAAAAGATTCTTCGGTGACATCTCTGTAGTTTTATTAACAAGGGTTGATACTGTAGAGGATAATTCATTTTCACTTGATAATTCAGTCTTTATTAGTGATAGTGATGGATAATCAAAAAACATGTATTTTTGTGGACTTTCTCCTCCATCTTCTGTTGGCACTAAAGGACTTGGAGGTAAACTATAACCTGCCTGTTTTCCTTCGTTCCAGTGCCGAGAGCGAATGTGACTTTCTAAAGCTGATTTTGCTTTGAACAGTGCTCGACAGAAAGGACACCTTTTGTGGGACTGGGCTGGACCTACTGCACGGAACTGACCTTTTCTTTCTCGGGCTCGTGTGTTCTGAAACCAGACTTGTACCACTCTCTTTTTAAGTCCCACTTCACGTGCAATATGATCTAACATTTTCCTAGTGGGATTAGAATCTAACAGGTATTTTTCATAGAGTATTTCTAGCTGCTCTGGAGTAATTGTAGTTCTTAAACGCTTATCACGATGTTGGTCTTCACCACTGTTTCCTCCCTCTTTTTCACTACAATTATTATCTTCTTTATCATCCAGTTTTCGTTTAAGTGACCCAGAAACTGTAGCAGAATGAGCCGTATGTGATGAACCTGTCTGTGGGGGCATCTGAGCAAGAGAACTGTTAAGCAACTGTCCAGTCATCAGAGGACTATTAGGGTCAAATATCATGTATGGCATATCCATAGGTCTTTCTAGAAATTGAGAGTGAAGAAATTGGTTTTGGGCTGCTAGGAAATGCATGTGCTGGTGTTCTTGCCAAAGTTCTAGAGTTGGAAAGGCAACTGTACACTGGTCACATTGGTACTGTAATAACTGAGGAGGTAGACTGTTCTGTAGAGGTGCGATTGAAATTGGTAAAGGACTGGAAGGAACAGGTGTTTGTGATGCAGATGGAGGTCTTCCAACCATCTGTGGCTGTTTTTGTTGTTGTGACTGAGAAGCTGAGGGTTGTGGATCAGAGGAAGTTATTGGGGCAGACTGTACTGGCTTGGTGCCTTGGGAGGTTGTATCAATTTGTTTAGGTGTGGAATCACTTTGCTTTGGCTTTTCTGTTGTCTCGGGTTTGGGAGAAGTCTTCTCAGGTTCTGGTCTGGGAGAGGGCATTAAAGGAGTACTAGAACCAGAGCCAGAGCTCGCTGCTGTCACAGCTGCACTTTTTGATGAGTCAGTTTGGCCAGAAACTGTGCAATTTTTATATACCATTTGATCTGAGGCATCCATCGAATCTTCTGTTTGGCTTTCATCTTGCGCATCATCATCTTCATCTTTATAACACTGTTTTTTCTGATGTGTAATCAAATCAAAAATTCTGGGAAAGACTACACTGCACTTTTTACATTGATATTGCATATTGCTAGTTCGAATGTAGCGCTCATTGGTGAGTTCCCTTTTCTCATTATCCTTAGTTTCTGCTTGATTTTCATAACTTTTGCGCGCTTTCTGTCGTGCATTTTGGAACCATACAACAATAACTCGAGTAGGCAGGTTAAGTACAGTTGAAAGTTGTTCAATTTCATCATCCTTTGGATAAGCATTTGTGTCAAAAAAATCTTGCAGGACCCTAAGCTGGTAGTCAGTAAACCTTGTTCTAGATGATCTCTTGCTGAAAGATGCATCAGACTTGTAAGGTTCTACAGTGGTGGGCTGAGGATCAATTCTTATGTCTTCCAAGACAGTTATGGGAGGATTGCTAAAATTGTATGGGGAATCTTTATTTCTTTGCCGCTCCTTAAAAAGTGTATTACGAAACCAGTGTTTGATAACCTTTTGAGAGAGGCCAGATTTCTCAGCCATTTCTTGAATCTGCTCTTCACTTGGAGAATTGTTAATATCAAAATAAGCCCGCAAGATTTTTAACTGATCATCTGTGATTCTCGTACGTGGACGCTTGAACTGAGAATGCCGTAGGAAATTGGGATCTAACCCTAGCTGCTGCTGACAAAGCTGGGTAAGATCTGCAGACAAAGTATCCATTGGTGGCAACTGGAGAGCAAGCTGAGGAGGCAGTGCAGGATGCTGCACTGGCTGCATCATAATTGGAGGGAACAGTGGAAGATCAAGCGACACAGGCAGCTGGACTTGAGGTGGAGCTGAAGGTGGTGGTGGAGGTGGGGGAGGCGGTGGTGGAGGTGGAGGAGGCGGTGGTGGTGTGGGTGGCGGAGCCTGCAAGGGAGTTGAAGTTGTGTTTTGAATTTTTCCAGAGCTGGCTGAAGAAGGCTGCGAGGGTGTGGGAGGTGGGGGAGGTGGAGGAGGCGGGGGAGGTGGTGGTGGCGGAGGG